CTTCGCAAGTGGAGAACCAGTGTTGACAGGGCCAATTCAATCAGGGTGGATGTAGTCCAGGGAGTAGTCCAGTGGACTACATCCACCCTGATTGAATTGGCCCTGTCAACACTGGTTCTCCACTTGCGGAGGAGTAACTCCCTGCTCTCCATGTGTCAGTATATAATGCCTGCATCTGTAACTTTCATTCTTTGCATCCGAAGAAGTGAGGTTTTTACCCACGAAAGCTTATGCCCAAATAAATCTGTTAGTCTTTAAGATGCCACCAGACTCCTTGTTGTTTTTGTAGATACAGACTAACAAGGCTACCCCCTGATACTTGACACCACGTCTGTCACAGTAAGACAAGGGACTGGGTGTGTGATGGTGTGTGTGTGTTACAAGGGATCACACCCCAGGCTGTGTATGGTGTGCAGGTATGAGTATTGCAGGAAGGCTGTGTGATGTTTTTTACACATCACACCCTGGCTGTGTAGTGTGCATGTGTTACAGAAGTTAACCCCTGGTTGTAATGTGCATGTGTTTCAGGAGTGGTGTGTATGTGTGTGTTACAGGAGCTCAGTCACACCTGGCTGTAGTGTGTGCTACATGTGTGTTTCATGAGGGTTGTGCAGTGTGTGTGTGTTACGTGTATGTTACAGGATCTCTCACCCATCTGTGTAACGTGTGTTTCAGAAGCTCACACCCATGTCCCTGCCCAGCGCCATGGGGAGAGCAGCTGCCCCGTACAGATGCCGTGTTCTGGCCTCAGTGCTGGCGCTGAAGGAGCTAGTACCCAGGCTGGCTGCCTCCGCCCACTGCCCTGCACACCACATGTACTGCCCGTCAGCCACAATAAATGGTCCAAAGTCAAACTCATCAAGGGCCCGCGGGACGTCGACCGCAGCTGGCTCTTCCAGAAGCTCGCCATGCCCTGCGCTTGCCGTGAAAGGCATGGGGGGGGAAGGAAGGAACGGATCCTGTGTGTGACCCAGCTCCAGTCGAGGTTGTGGCTACAGAGCCCTCCAGCCCAGCCTTGACCAGTAGCACTGACCCTGGTGCCCCTAAGCCCAGCACCCCCTAACCTCTGTTAGCTCAAGGCCAGCACCATCCCTGGCTGCTCGAGGAGAGGATGCTGGTCTTTGGGGTAGTGTCTCCCCTTCTCATCCTTTCTGCACTGGACCTTTCTTCTGTCCCACAGAACCTCCCCTAAGGTGCCTGGGTCTCTGCCCCCCTCAAGCAGCTGCTTTACATAAGAGGGGGAAGCCCAGTCCCTGGGGTTCAGGTGGCCTAAGGTAAGAGCTAATGCTGGCTGAAAAGGGGAAGGGCGTTGGGACAGGTGGTGTGGGGCAGGGAGGGTCACCAGGGGCCTCAGGACTCCTGGGTCCCATCCCCAGCTTTGCAAGGGGGATAGTCAGAGTCAGGACACCTGGGGTCTATCCCTAGCTCTTGGAGAGGAGTGGAGGCTGGTGGGTTAAAGGAGTGGGAGCTGGGAACCTGGACTGCCCTGGAATGGGATCCCAACCATGTCTTCCTTGTGACTCTTCCTGCACACCCAACCCTGATTTCAACCCCAACCTGGCCAACATCATCGATCAGTGCCGGAGCAAGAGCATGCCCAAAGCATCCATTGAGGTGGCCACCAAGGGAGGGGTATGGAGCCGGGTCCCAGCAGCCCCAGCTCATGGGGCAGAGGGGCTCATGGGCTGCAGCCTTGCTGCATTCTCTTGGCCATACCCAGGGGCATTGGGAGCCTTGAATAAGGGAGCAAGGCTGAGGTTGTGGCTACGGGGCTGGGCTGGGCTACAGGATTCCTGGTGTCTATTCTTAGCTCTGCCACTTGCTGCCTCTGTGAGCTTGGGCAAATCACTTGGGTCATAGGGAATTGCCAGACTGGATCAGAGCAGAGGTGTGTCCACTCCAGTGTCCTGTTTCCAGCACCAGAGGCTGCAGAGGCAGGTGTAAGAATCCCGCAGTAGCGGATGTTGGGATAATCATCCTGGGCTAGTGTCACTGTGCTTCAGTGGGTCTCACCTGAGAATACCAGATTCAGGACAAACTGCTGAGAAATAGGGCACAGACATGCCAAAACCTGGTGGTTATTCCTCCACAAGATATACCAAACCAGTCAACTTTTGTCTCACCACAGTGGCTAACAGTCAGAACTGCAGCCTCCTTAGGTATCCCAGTCCTTGTTTCACCACCCACCCACTAGACTTAATGATGAGTGGTTATTTAAAACCAATGTCATCAAACAAAGAGTTCTTCTGATCCCAAAGGACCAGCCACATACTCAGGTTAATATATAGCTCAGATCTTGCCCAATAATCGTTGTTCCCAATCCTTTGGTATCTAATAGCTAAAGGTTTATGTATAAGCAAAAAGAAAGAGGTGAGGGTTAAAACAGCTAAAGGAATCAAATACATACACACATTGCAAAGTTCTTGTGGCCGGTTTGAAGCAGTGATGGAATAAACTGCTGGCTTGTTAAGTATCTGACAGCATCCAAAAGAATGGAAGGTCCCGAGTCCATTGGTTAGAAAGCTCCTTTTATTATAAGTCCATAGTCCAGAGATCAGTGCAGGAAAAAGGCAAAATGCAGATGTTTCTAGGGCTTTTTATAGCTTCTGCCAGGCCTAAGTGTTCCATGATTTTCTTATTTTAGTATTTTGCTAAATGTGCCAAATAAGTCAATAACCAGGTCTGCATTTTGTCTTGTACATGGGTGTATTGTCCAACTTTACATTGTTAGATTTACCTGACATTAGGCTGTGTGTGTGTTTTGTATAAAATACTGCTGAAAACAAGTATGATGTTCTGTGAGACTTAACTGTCAATAAAACTAACTTGAATGTATGCTTAAAGTAGATTATCTGTAAAATAATATGCAGTTTGGTTTGAGCGTATGCTTAATTGTTTTGAGAAAGAGAAGGGAAGGGTGCATGTTAAAGTGTAGAGAGGTCAGAAAACAACATTTATAACTCTGGTAAAAAGTGCAATCGACTCTAACACAAAATAGTTTAAACTAGCCCTACATTTTGTCTACATGGGGTGTATTGAACAATTGAACACCGTTAGATTTCTTTTAAGCTAGGTTGTGTGCATATTCTGTATGAAATAATGCTGAAAAACAAATATGAATGTGTATGTGAGTGGGTGACATCTATAAAACTAGTTTGAATGTATGCTTATGGTGGTTTATAAGTTGGCTTGAATGAATGCTTATTCGTTTTGGGATGTAGGGTTGGGAGGGATTTGTGACTGGGGCTGTGTGCGCATGCTTTTGGGTTTTATTTTTTATTTTTAATTTCCAAAATGAACATTTACTGTGGTTCTCCTCTCCCGGGTCATGTGGGCCACAAACAGACAACTGAGACCGTCTGGACCCCTCCGGAGGGGAGAATTCCTGACTTCCCGTGCCACCGCATGTCCCTACTGTGGACTCCACTACGTTCTCCAACTTGACCTCTTTGTCCACGACTTTGTTCTCAGGCTCAAGCCCCCTGTCCACCGCCTGCAGCCCCGCTGAAGTATCCACAGGGCTCTTGGCAGTGGAGGTGAGGTCGCCACCAAGGGTGGCATCCAGCTCCTCATTGAAGCGGTAGGTCTTCAGCACAGGACCAGAGTGACGGTTTGCCTTCTGGTATGCCTGCCTCAGCTCAGCTGGGATCTTTGCTCAGCACTGCTGCCTCCTCCAGCCCTGTAACTGGACTTTTAGTTCAGGTACCATTTAGAGCCCCGAAAACCAGACACCCGGAAACCCTAAATGGCACCCAGACACAAAAGCCGAAACCTGGACCCATGGCAACCCTACTAGTCATACAATAGTACATATTGAGGAACAGGCCCCTTCTTTCATTTCATTAAAAGCTGGGGCATTCCTGGGTGGTCAGATCTCTCCTTGCCCAGTGTGGCAGTGACATGTGGGAGGTTGGGGGGGTGGGGGGGGGAGGGCTGTTACTCTTTCATGCTGTACAAAGGGGTGTGTGAAGCCCAGTGTTTTCATTTAAAGGCACGGAAAGACATTACACACTGAAGACTGTTTTTAAAGGCATGTGGTTCAGTGGGCTGAGCTACGGACTGGGATCCGGGAGACCAGAGTTCCATTCCTAGCTCAGCCACTGGCCTGTTGACTGACCTTGGGTGAGGCTCTCTGTGCCTTGGTTTCCCCATCTGTAAAATGGAGATTGAGACACGAATTGGCTTTGTAAAGCACTTTGAGATGTACAGCTGGCCCCCATCTTTAAGTATTTCAATAGAATAATATATTTCAAGTACAACCAAATCAAACAACCCCCCTACCCCCAGTGTTGTGAGGCATTTTTTTCCTTCTCCAACCCCAAAACACAGGTCAGAGTGGGCTGTGTCAATCTAATCAAGGCACTATTGTGTAAGCGGTGGGGCGATCAAAGCATCAGATAGACTTTCATGGAAGAGGAAAAAGCAGCCGCTGCCCTAGAGGGATGAAGCCCACGCGGTGCAGGCGGCTACTGCTGCCTTCAGCCCACCTTTGCACAGAAAATATCTGGTGCAATGGCTGCTCCCCTGCAAGAGGCATTGTGCTGTTTGACTCTCCTCTGAGAACATCCACAACCATTTCCCCCTGTGCATAAGCTGTTTTTACAACAGAGAATTCATCTCTTCATTGCAGTGTGAACTGTCGGGGTGGAGGGGTTAGAGATGGCAACTTAAAGCACTTCTTCACAGGCACATGGTAAAACAACAACAAACTTCCTTCCCTACTTTTAACCATGCATGTACAATTTATAACTTCCGAAGCATCCTGGTGGATTCTTCATCTCTGGCGATTTTTAAAATCAAGATTGGATTTAAAAAAAACCTAACAAACAAAAGCTCTGTTCTAGTTCAAACAGGTATTAACTCAGGGAAGTTCTTTGGCCTACATTGTATAGGAGCTCAGGTTGAATGTGGTCTCCTGCATAAGTCTGGGGAAATTGTGCACCACTGCACAGATGCAGAATTCATGTTCCCCACAGATTTTCTTTTTCCTTGGCAGAAAATACATTTTGCCAGCGAGGTGCTGCAATTACACCTTTTTCCCCACCAGGAGCTGTTGTGGTGCCAGAACAGAAGGCAGCCAGCTCAGAGCCATAGCAGAAGCGGCAATATGAGGGGCAGGGGGTAGACAGAGCAGGGCACATAGGGCTGCTGCGGGAATCACATAGGCTGGGGTTCAGAAGGGCTAGTGGGGAGGAAGACTGGAATGGGGTCTAAGTGGGAGTGGGGGTGCAGGACCACACAGGGGCAGGGAGGTGCATGGGGGCGGGGGTGGCTGAGTGGGGGTGCAGGGTCACACAGGAATGGGGGGAGGAGAGTGCAGGGGAACACAGGGACAGGGCAGATGTGCCTAACTGAATGGGAGAGGCTAGTGGGTCAGCCAGAGAAGCATGGGGGAGGCTCCCCAACTCGCTAACAATCCCCCCCCAAAAAAAATCTGTTACATACTTCTCCCACCCACACCCAACAACCCTCCTGCTTCACGCCCAGGCTAGTTCCAGCAATTACTTCCTTCTCCCTCAGCTCCTCTGTTACCCCTGACTCCCCCAAGCCTTTGTACTGCTGCTGAGGGGTGCAGGAAATATGTTTCTGTATTGTAGTTTACATGAATTCTTACTCAAAGTTCAGTATTAATAGCCTAGTAAAGAAACTATTTGTCAAAAAACACTTCTTGAATCTTTTTTGTTGTCTGCATTGTTACAGACATACTTGCCGACAGGTATTTTGAAATAAATTAACAAAATAATTGAAATTAGTGTGATTATATTGTGTTATTTTGACAAATAAAATATGCAGAATTTTAAAATATTGTTCGCAGAATTTTTAGGCGCAGAATTTCCCCAAGAGTAATGGGAAACTCTCTCTGTGCGCCTGCCAGTCATACAGTTAATCCGGCCCCATGGTCACTTAGGCCCTAGAACACTTTGATTGGTTGCACTTCACATTGGCTTCTCCACCTGCCATGTGAAAGCATCAGCTTTTCTAATAGCAAACAAACATCTGGTTAGATAGACCTTTGTTACACATTAGGTACGTAGTTCTTCTTCATCACATTTCTATTTAAAGTAGATGGCATGAGCAGTTCCTAAGTCTTCTTCCAATCACACACACTGGGCTGTCCTGCCCCACCCCTCAGCCCAATCTATGCTGAGAGAGGACTGCAAATCCCACCTCTAGATGTCACCCAAGAGTCACCCGCTGGCTGGAATGGAGCTAGCTGTGGGGGGAAGTTCCTGGCTGGGTACAATCTAGATGGGGGGAGGGAGAGGGGGTTATCCTGGCTGCATCCCAGCGAGATGAGCGAGTGTGGAACAGAAAGAGAGACCTGGCTGGATCCCACCTACATGAGGGGGGAGAGCTCCCTAATGCAGTAGGCTGTGACCATCTCCTCTAAATTCCCTCCACCTGTCTGCTCTTCCCCACACTTGCTCAGCCAAGTCCCCTTCCCTGTCTCCCCACCCCCCCCCCCCAGACTCTCTGCTGGGCATCATGGGGACAGGACCACTCCCTAGTCTGCAACTGCTGATGCTGTGTCAGGCCCACTGGCTGCCAGAATCCCCTCAGGCCTTTGGCGGTGGCAGAGAGGCACTGGTATGCGTGACCGGGTGCTGGGTGAGGTTGGCCAATCTAGCAAAGTGCTTGCCCCAGTCAGCACAGCTGTACTGCTGCTCTCGGCTGTGAATGAACCAATGTGGTAGCAAGCTCTTGCTGCAGCCAGCGCATCGGAATGTCCTCCCCGCAGTGTGCATGCACTGGTGTTTGGTGGGTGGATTGGTTTTTGACATTCTTACCAGAATCATCACAGTGGTGCGGCAGCTGCCCGGTGTGTGCGCTGGTGTGTTCTCAGGGTTGAGCACTGTGCAAAGTCCTTGCCGCAGTCGGCACAGCGATACGGCCGCTCCCCGGTGTGCGTGCGCTGGTGTGATCTCAGGTTTGACCTCTCTGCAAAGCCCATGCCGCAGTCAGCACAGCGATGCGGCCGCTCCCCAGTGTGCGTGCGCTGGTGTCTGTTCAGCTGTGAGCGCCCTGCAAAGCCTTTCCCACAGTCAGCACAGCAGTACGGCCGCTCCCCGGTGTGTGCGCGCTGGTGCAGTGTCAGTGTGGAAGCACAGCGGAATCCCTTACCGCAGTGGGCACAACAGTGAGGCCACTCCCCAGAGTGTGTGCGCTGGTGTTTCCTCAGGCTTGAGCTCTCTGCAAAGCCCTTGTCGCAGTCGGCACAGTGGTATGGCCGCTCCCCGGTGTGTGCGCGCTGGTGTGCTCTCAGGCTTGAGCTCTGTGCAAAGCCCTTGTCGCAGTCAGCACACTGGTACGGCCGCTCCCCGGTATGCGTGCGCTGATGTATTCTCAGCTTTGAGCTCTCTGCAAAGCCCTTGCCGCAGTCAGCAGAGCGATGCGGCCGCTCCCCAGTGTGCGTGCGCTGGTGTCTTCTCAGCTCTGAGCGCCATGCAAAGCCCTTGCCGCAGTCAGCACAGAGATGCGGCCGCTCCCTGGTGTGCGTGCGCTGGTGCTGGGTCAGTGTGGAGGCACTGTAGAATCCCTTAGCACAGTGGGCACAGCAGTACGGCCGCTCCCCAGAGTGCATGCGCTGGTGTATTCTCAGGCTTGAGCTCTCTGCAAAGGCCTTGCCGCAGTCAGCACAGCGATGTGGCCGCTCCCCTGTGTGCGTGCGCTGGTGTATTCTCAGCTTTGAGCTCTCTGCAAAGCCCTTTCCGCAGTCAGCACAGCGAAGCGGCCACTCCCCAGTGTGTGCGCGCTGGTGTCTTCTCAGCTGTGAGCTCTGTGCAAAGGCCTTGCCGCAGTCAGAACAGTGGTGCAGCCACTCCCTGGTGTGCGTGCACTGGTGCTGGTTCAGCGCAGAGCGGTTGCTGAACCTCTTGTCGCAGTCAATGCAGTGGTGGAGACGCCGGTCCATGGGCAGTCTCTGGTGTGTAGCAAGGTCTAGTCTCTGGCTGAGTTTACCCCGGGGATGGACTGCATCCTGTGCATGGATCCCTCTATGGGATGTGGAATCTTGCCTCCCTGCCGGGCTTTCCCCACATTCAGACTGTGTCCGCGTTCCCCCCAGGATCCCGAGCCCTGCTGGAGAGAGCTGACCGTTAAGGCTACAGGTTTGTCAAGGATGGAAAATGTCACGGATGGAGCGATTTCCCCATTTCTCCATGACTGTTTTTTGGATGGGTGCCTCACCCTGCAATGGCGGCTCCTGTCTCACAGGGTTGGATCCAAAGCCTCTCTCTGGGTACTGAGACCTGGTCTGCGGGGTTACAGCAGCACTCAGATTTGCCCCTGCCCCCAGTGATAATGGTAGGGGAAGGAGGCCAAACTTCAGTGAATGGCCTTGCCACCCAGATCCTCTCTAGCCCGCACCAGCCCCTCTGCACCAGGCTGGGGTCAGGATTGCAGCACTGGGAGAAGTGCTGGGCAGGTACCCCATGGGCAGGGCAAGGAGGAGGGCAGGTTTTGTTAACAATCAGGGAGCAGTCACAGGAAGTTTATTGATCTGTGACTTTTACTAAATTTTCTGTAATTGCCCTGTAATTTTTGATACAAAATGCCATGACAAATCTGCAGCCTGACTCAGGGTGGTTCCATCTTATGTTGTTTGTGCAGCGCCTAGGGAGGGGCTGGCAGACATGTGGAGTGAGCAGGCAGACACCACTCAGCTCTGCTGTGCTGCTGGGGCCCTGGGCCATCGTAAGTTGCCTGAGGTGGGAGGGGGCGGCAGGTGGGGCTAAGAGAGAGAGACCCGGCCCCAAAACTTCTGGAACCCCGCAGGCCACATTGGGGAGGTTCGCGGGCAGCAGAGTTTGAGACCCCTGACCGAGAAGGAAATAAAGTAATAAGTAACAGTCAGCATGGATTTGTCAAGAACAAATTATGTCTAACCAACCTAATATCCTTATGGACGATTCAAAGTCGGTTGGGGTTGCAAGCGCATTAGAGGAGAGGATTAGAATGTAAAGTGATCTTGATAAACTGGAGAAATGGTCAGAATTGAAATGACTGCTTAGGAAGGAGTACTGCAGAAAACCATCGGGGTTATAGTGGATCACAAATTAAATGAGTCAATGTAATACTGTTGAAAAGAAAAAAAGCAAATACACCTCTACCCCAATATAACGCTGTCCTCGGGAGCCAAAAAAAAAAATCTTACCACGTTATAGGTGAAACCGCGTTATATTGAACTTGCTTTGATCCGCCGGAGCGCTGCTTTACCGCATTATATCTGAATTTGTGTTTTATCGGGTCGGGTTATATCAGGGTAGAGGTGTATCATTCTGGGATGTATTAGCAGGAGTGTTGCAAACAAGATGTGAGAAGTAATTCTTTTACTCTTCTCAGCACTGGTAAGGTCTCAACTGGACTACTGTGTCCAGATCTGGGCCCCGCACATCAGAAAGGATGTAGACAAACTGGACAGGGTCAGAGTAGAGCAATGAGAATGATTAAAGATCTAGAAAACATGACCTACGAGGAAAGATTGGATTTGTTTAGTCTGTCGAAGGAAAGACTTAGGTGAGCTTGATAACAGTCTTCAAGTACGTAAAAGGTTGTTACAAAGTACAGGGTGATAAATTGTTCACCTTATCCACAGAGGCCAGGAGAAGTAGTATGGGCTTAAATTGCAGCAAGGGAGATTTAGGTTAGATATTAGGAAAAAACTTCCAAATTCTAAGTGTAGTTAAGCACTGGAACAAATTACCTGGGATGGTTGTGGAATCTCCATCATGGGATGCTTTTAAGAGCAGGTTAGACAGACACCAGTCAGTCATGGACTAGATAATACTTAGTCCTGTCTCAGTGCAGGGGACTGGATGACCTACTGAGGTCCCTTCTAGTCCCACATGTCTATGATTCCTAGGATTCATAGATATCAAAGCCAGACAGGCTCATTGTGCCCATCCAGCCTGGCTTCCTGCCTAACCCAGCCAGAGAAACTCCCGCAGTGATTCCTGCCTCCAGCCCAGCAACTCCTTCCCCTCCAAAATAAATACTGGCCCCTAATTCCCAACCTCCATTTGTCCCCTTCAGTTCCCAGCCAATGAATCTCACTCTGCCTTTGCCTTCTACATTAAGGAGCCATCCACTAGCAGGTGCGTAAATCAGAAGGGATTGAATTATTATGACTCACCTCGGGAGGGGCTCTCAGGCCCTGAGGTTTGCCTGGAGTCCTCAGCATCCTGGATCCAGAGCTCTTCCTCACCTACCTCGATCTGGTAGATTAAGTCCGGTGTGGAACCTGAATAGCCTGTTTGGGGGGAATTAATCAGTTTTATTACTAAAGTTTTGGGGGTAGGGACTCATTTCTATGTTAGTGCAACCCAGCACAATAGGGCCCCGATCTCGGTCAGTGTTTGTCTGCGCAGCACTGGGCGCGACAAGGCCCCAATCTCGGACACTACTTGAGAGGAAAGTGCAGGAGATCCCAAGCAGGAGAATAATGAAATAAACCTTCCTTAGAGGAGATTTCGTCCCGTCTCCCGCTAGGCAAGTTCAATTCACACTCTGAAGCAGCAATGTCTATGACCCTTCTCAATTTGCTTTGGGGCTGAGTCATGGCAGGTGTCACTGTTATACAGACCTATCATTTATTTGCTTAGGGTGCAAGAATTGTTGAAAATGTATGGTAAAGATTATGATATTCTTTTTGGGGCGGTGGGGAGTTGTTTTCTTCTTCTTGCCTTATTAGTCTTATTTGCTCATGTGTTGTTTGCAACCAGCCCTGTGCCAGGACTGAGGTAGGTAAACAAGTTACACTAAGATTAGCCCCAGGCTCTGTAGCCCTGATCTCTTCATTAACAGGAAGCCGAACTGAAAGAGGCTGACATTTGCAACTACTTGGGCATGTGGTGGCACATGGCAGGTGAGGTAACAAGGGAACCCAGACATTTCACAGCTGTGAGTAAAGATAAATAAGTCCTTACCCAAGGAAACAAGGACCCGATAATTCCTCAGCATCTGGTCCCGGTACAGCTGTTTCTGTGGCTGGGATAAGAGCTCCCACTCCTCCCGGGTGAAATACAGAGTGACGTCCTCGAACGCCACCTGGAGCTGCTGGCACAAGCGTTACACACTCAGCACCTTCCGCTCCAGCCCCCAGCCCAGAGTCTCAGCAGGGGACGCGGTTTCTAGGGGAGCAACTCCCAGGGAACCCCCGGCCCAGCAGCTGTGACCCAGGGAGACCTCCCCCCCCCCCCCGATCCCCCAAGGACTCGGGGCCCCGAATCCCAGGGCCGGGAACAGGCTCCTCCCCCCCGGCCGGAGTCCCGCCTCCACCCCAGGCCTGTGCTCAGCCCCGCTCCCGCCCCGGCTCAGGCGCCTCCGGGCTCCTCTGCCCGGCCGGGGCCTCGCTCAGGGGGAAGGGGCCGCACCCGGCTCCGCGTGTCCGCCTGGCCAGGGCCCCCCCGCCCCGGGGCCCCAGAGCCGCCCCCGG